CGGCACGGAGGTCTCGTTCTAACATTCGGCAGCCCGCGGGGCTGGCCGTTCCACACTTCGAGCTTCCAGCGTCACTTTGATGCCCAACGCAGGCCGGAAGGCGTTGCGCCGCCTATACGAGTTCCCAAACTCGTGTGGATACCTTTGACACTCCTTTGAGTCATCTAGGCAGGTCCTTGGGGTTCGCCCCCAAGGCAGCTCGTTCTATACGGCTCGGTGGCAGCACGTATGGGGGAGGCAGATCGGAGCTTTCATCACCTATACCCCCCTTATATATGCTTAAAATTAAAAAGCTCAAGTTGCCCGAGTAGACTGCTCTACGTCAGACCATCAGAAGGACCTTTTCTCACCAGTTCTTGGCCGAAATCACAACTCCAAAATGCGAGTTGTGACATTTACACTTGCACTAAGTCCAGTGTTAGAGAAGAGTCCTTTCATTTTGGTTAGAGATTGCATATCCTTGTGGAGATAACTTGAGGTTTATAGAATTCCTAGTTTTAAGAAACGCTAATTGGTCCCAATTAGACTAATAATCAAGCATTGGAATGAAGATAGTCAGATGGAGTGGAATGGATATTGAGGATCATACCCCAACTTGTTTGAGATTGAGGTGTAGTTATTGTTGGAGTGATCATTTGAGTAAGAACTCTTCATTAACATGATCGAGTGAGATATTTATTAAAAGTAGATTCTCTTGGTATTTGAGTTGATAATGGCCTTGGTTTCTGGAGTACTATATCAAAACAAGAATGTCAGTGATGATGCTTACACGTAAAGATAGGCCCATGATTATTGGAACTTTATCTTCAACATGTCCTGGCTAGTGAGACAACTTATGATGGTCTCTTTCCTGGCCACATGTGATGATTTGTTTTTCCTATCTGCATGTATGTATATTTTAGGACTTAGGGAGGTTTTGATGGATTCCCTTCAAACTTTCCAGCCACATGACACATCAATTTCTTGAGCACTAAATTCTGACATTATAAAAATTCCTTCTTTCTTGAGCACTAAATTCTGACATTATAAAAATTCCTTCTGTAATTCCCAATGGTCTATGTTTTGCAGGGTGGAGAATGTGACTCTTTCTATGTCGTTGGGAGTGGGGAGTTTGAGGTCTTAGCGACACAGGTGGGACCGTGGGAGTCGTTTTTTCACTTGATTCTATTTCAATGTCATTAAACTAACTGTGTGTGGTTCACTTAGTCTCTGGAAATTATCAGATTCATCATTATCATAAAAAGAAGCTTGTCCCAATTAATTCTCATTGGATCTAGTTTGAAGTCTTCAACTTTGAATTAAAAATGCCAGGATGAGAAAAATGGAGAAGTTCCAAGGGTTCTTCAGCACTACACGGCTGATAAGCTGTCATCCTTTGGAGAGCTGGCTCTGATGTAAGATATCTGTTTCTTTCCGTTGTAATTCGTCACAATCAAATTCGAAATCGTTCTTTTATGGGAAAGTGAAATACGATCTAATGCTTCTAATCGCAGAGCTGTTATCTTTCGCCTTCTATTTTTACTCCAAGACAAGCCGTATGGTACTTGAAGAATATGTGGTACCTTGAAAGTTATATTATTGTGAAGCTTTACACCGATATGCTAGTGTAGTTCGTTCTTCCCATATCCTCTCTCACAATCTGAAGCAGCAATGCAATATGTCCGTTCTCTTCTTTAAATGAAGTGCTGGGTCCTATCAACCTGAGTTACCTATTTGGTAGTTATATCTTTTTGTGTGGATCGTAATATTGCAAGTTGCAACACCGTAGTACTAGTTTATTAGTTACAGTTGATTAATCTCAACTACTCTTTGGATCATCTGTAGAATTATTCTGACTATCTCTGTTTTTCGTTGAATTCAATTGCACCATAGGTACAATAAACCACTCCAAGCTTCTGTTCGTGCTGTCACCAATGGAATTTTGTGGGAACTAAAAAGAGAAGATTTTAGAAATATTCTTATGTCCGAGTTTACTAATTTGTCTTCGTTGAAGCTGCTGCGATCTGTAGATCTTCTCTCAAGATTGACAATTTTACAGCTAAGTCATATTGCAGAGTTGGTTTCAGAAGTGCCCTTTTCTGATGGACAGACAATAGTAAATGAGGTAGCTATTTCAAATTTATTTCCTTCCCTGCTTACACTTTGCCCCATTTAAAATGATAACTATTTTTATGACAACTACCTTGTGCTAGCTACATTCTCTTACACATGCTTTGGATTTTTTTTTTTTGCAGAATCAGGAACCTATGGGCCTATACATTATCCAGAAAGGGGTTGTAAAAATTACATTTGACATGGATTTAGTGAAATGTGAAAATGCATCAAGTCTCATGTGTGAAAACCAAAAGCAGGATGATACACATAACAAAAAAGGCATAACAGTTGAAAAGAGTGAAGGGAGCTATTTTGGGGAATGGACACTTCTTGGGGAACAAATAGCCTCCTTGAGTGTCATTGCTGTGGGTGATGTGGTATGTGCTATCTTAACTAAGGAGAAGTTTGATTCAGTTGTGGGTTCTTTGGCAAAGCTCTCACAGGATGATCTCAAGTATGTCTAAAATCTAGCGAGATTGAAGTTATTTAAGCAAAAGAAAAAAGATGTCTATATTCTTTGTTTTACATTTGGGGTCTGATAGATGTATGATGTAAAGGGATTGAAGCCTTTACTTTTTCTTCGTATCTACGACTAAAAGTTTTTCCACTAACATAATTATATAGGGCAAAGGGCCATCAAACAATTCTCTCTTCAGAATCTATCCCGAGCGTTGACACTTCTATGCTTGCAGATTTGCAGCTTGCCTATTTGGTGAGGGATTCTTGTACTTCTTCCTAACATATTTCTGAAAAACTTTTATGAGGCAGATGTATGAATATATTAGCTATTTGTCTAGGAGTGGCAGACTTGTTTGTATTCAACGGACTGCAGTGAGATTGGCCTAGTGCGTCTGAAAAACTCAGGTTGATTTTTCTTATGTCCTCAGTAGTGCTTCTTTTAAATGCTGAAAATTCCAGTGGCCATTCCTTTGGGGGCCTTTTCTCTTGGTTTACCTTGTGACTGACCAGTAATACCTATTAGAAGCAGTAAGTGGACGTACAAGATTCTTGATGATTGTATTCAGTACAGGAATTAACAATTGTCTCGTCTTTCTGCAGATAAACTGCTTAGCTTGAAGAGATTTTCAAAGCAGAAAATTAAGATGCTTGGCAAAGAAGAACAAGTACTAAAAGAGAAGAATCTATTGAAGCAAATGAACAGAGTAGCTTCAGTACCTAAAGTTTTATGCACCTGTGCTGATGAAACTCATGCTGGCATAATTCTGGACTCATGCCTGGCTTGCTCTATGGTAGCAATACTTCACAGCCCCTTTGATGAGGAGTCAGCACGTTTCTGTGCTGCATCCGTTGTCATTGCCCTGGAAGACTTGCACAATGTAAGTTGTCTAGAGGTCCTAGTTATTATAAGCACATGGTAATTTCAAGATTTAACTCTTTTCCTTTTGCCTTCTGTTTCTAGAATGGTATTCTCTATAGAGGTGTGTCTCCTGATGTGCTAATGTTAGACCAAACTGGCCATATACAGGTAAATATTTCTGTTGCTCATGTAGCTAATTGCTTTCAGAGTTCTTTTTATATGGACCTCCATAAATGACAATGATTCTGTTGCAATCAGGGCGTGTATGGTTTTCTGTATAAGAAAAAATAAGTTCCAGTATAAATATCTGTATTATCAATACGGTGTTTGAGCGACCCTTTTCAAAACAAATACGGTGTTTGGTTTCCGGTATAAATTTTTGCATAATATAGTGTTTGCTTTCCGGTATAAATTATGTATAACTAATAGTTGCATAACTTATACGGAAATCTATATATTATTCTATTCGGGATAATTATTTAATTAGAAATATTGAATTATCAATACCAAGATAAAGCTAAATTTTGACTTTGGTATTGCAACCTTTGCATAAGAATCCATGTATTTTTTTAAAAGGTAAGGTAATCTGTAGATAGTCGAGCACAAAGGATGTGCTGTAATAGCTGTATACTATTTACGGAAGCCAAAACAGCAAAAGGATGCCCCCATAAGAATTCATGTTATTTTTTTGGGAAAATGACACTGTATAGCCTCTCTCAGAATAATAGCCGAAAAAATGTATATTTTTTGTATATATATACATTCTGTATGGTATATACAAAAGTTATACAAATTTTATACACTTTTTCGGCTACCGAATATAAATAGTTTCTGGCGCGGGCTAAAAGTAATAGTACCCCTTATTTTTTCATTCCATAATAATCATTGAATTTTATTGTTCAGCGCTTAACAATCCATGTTTTGTTATTCACTGCTTAACCGCATAGTGATCCCTATATTATAATACCTGCATAACTAGTATGTGAAACAAACAACCAGAGTATGTCGTTGGTAATTACTTTTTCCAATAATGATATTCCTCTATTGATTTTCTGTAGCTAGTGGAGTTCAGATTTTCTAAGAAGATTCCTTCTGAGTTGGATGAGAGGACATTTACCATATGCGGGATGGCTGATTCTCTAGCTCCAGAAATAGTCCAAGGGAAAGGCCATGGCTTTGCTGCTGACTGGTAAAATGCTACTCCCACACCAGTCAAAATTTGTTGAAGTACTACATATGACTCTTGAAAAAGTTAATTTGGTAAATAAAGCATTATGAATTATGGAGATGAAGAACTGGTTATCTTGGGTCTGTTCTAAGGAAACCTAATTTGACAGCGGAGAAGTACAATTGAGAGCAAAGAGTGCAGAGTTTGGAATTGCCTTAATATTATGCAAATGCTTAAGAGAACTTATACAAAGGCGCATGGGATATTCTGTCTATCATGACGTCTAAAACATATTTGGTTATCCAATGATTCAATGACTATCATAAAGTCATGCAAGCATAATTAATGAGCTTCAGCAGCCATATTAGCCCTGTTAACCATGGAATATCTTGAAGTTTTGAAATAATTACTATAGGTTAATGATGCATAAATTACTACAAAATGAGATACCATGAGATACTTAGTCTGATTGCTTAACATTAAAAGAGGTGTATGGATTATCATGCTTTGGCAATTAGTTTAAGAGGATGGTGATCATCTGGGAGTTGTGTATCTAGAAATGAATAAGTGTCCCGTCCCTTCTGACTATAAGATTACAAACGCGAATTTATCATTTTGTTTTAACTCCTATAACAAGTGGTTGTGTATGCATGTGTATATATTTTGTGTGATATATCAAATGGGCAAAGGATAATTCATCCATGATCTCATGGTTATGAGGTATGAGTTTAGCTTTAGAGTCACCAAGCCGTACCCTTAAGGCATGCACAATGGGATCGTTATTGCTAGTAGAGGCTAACTTGCAGCCAGCCCTGTCTGGTCAATGAAAATGCTTCTCTTGTTTCTTTTTTGAGGTTTGGGGAATGATGAGATAATGAAGTTAGGTAGATTGCTCTTTCATATTGAAAATTTCTGGAAACAAATCCAATAGCTTCAAAATGATGAAGGTGTATAGTGGAGGCACATAGAAGTAATGTAACATAATTCTTTAAACCTTTGAATGAACAAATGTCTGAGGTTGGTTAATGGAGAAGCCTCTGCAACTTGAGTAAACTGGAAGACAGTAATGAGTGACTTGTGAGGCTACCTATTTGAGCATCTCCTACTCCCCCTCCGTGTCTTTCTTCTCAAAGAGTGCAATCAAAATTCTAATGGTCTCTCTCCCCTCTAAGGAAAAGAGAATAGAATAATCTTATAAGGCTTGCATTGACTATCATGTGTTTGGAAGCGTCTTTGAGTTTCACTGGACACACTTTGATAGTAACCAGAAATAGATAATAGAAGAAATAGAACAAAGAAGTTTATATTACTGGCAATAGTTTGTGCAAGAATCTGAAAAACAAATACACCAATAAAGTTGTCCGTATGGAGAGGAAAAGGCTCCAGAATAAAGTAGTTTTAATTCTGAAAAGATACTTACACATTATTGGATCTATTATTTATATAATAGGCTGACCATAACTACTGCATAACCAATTAGGATAAAGACAGATAACTTTTAATAACTATAAACAGATAACTTCTAATAACTGTATAAAAACTGCTCAATCCTCCATAACTTAAAGCTCCAGGAATTTGAGAAGAGGTAGATCATTATCTTCTCCTATATTTCTTTGCTTCTTCCTCCTTGAATAAGTATGGAAGATACGTGGCTTGTCAGTACACCTCTCCTAGAAAGACGAATTGTCCTCAAGGCGAAATTCGGGAAATTGTGCCCACACAATTATTATCTTCCACACTCTGCATCGTTCTCTTCTTGCATCAACTCCAGTTGAGCAAAAGTCACAGATTTGCAGCGATGACCAGGGCTAAACTTTTCTCCACAATGATAGAAGAGGCCTTTGTCTCGCCAAATTTGTTGTTTAGGAGTCAATGAGCGAGTGTTTGGAAGTGATGGTGGTTGAAAAGAACATGTAATTGGTTGGCGGGATGACAGAAAATTGAAGGATTCTCGAGCCGTTAAAGATGATGTCCCAACTGAAGAAGGTCGTGATACAGAAGGCCAAGTGGGTGCCTTACTGGACCGAGTTGGTCACTGTTTTCCTTCATATTATAAAGCCAGGCTCATTGCCTTGTACACAAATGTTTGTGAATCTTAATGTCTATGCGAAGGCCTTCTTTGAGCCCACTAAGGAAAACTCCGAGCAAATAGTGTTCTGGCCAATTTTGCACACGCGCGGTTGTTTGCAAATTCTTGCCTATACTCGAGCAATATTCCAGTTTGTTGGATATCACAGAGATGTTCGTCAGGGTTTTGAAACTCAGTAGGTCCGTAATTTTCTTGCATAACTTTCACCAATTCGTCCCAATAGTAAATGGTTCGCTCGCTGTTGATCCAAGCGAAAAGATCCAATGCATCTCCTCCTAAGTACATCGAAGCTACATCAACCTTGCAATCCCCAGGCGTTTGATAGTACTGTGATGGTATTGGAGATACTTCTCTGCTTTCAGAATCCAGCCTCTAGGATCACCTCTCATACTTTGGAAATTCCATCTTTGTCTGCGAACACTGGGAAGTTTCTCGATGCCAACTGATGTTAACCTCACCCTCTTCTGGTATGACTTTAGCTTTCCCTTTATTGCTGTAATCGCCACTGTTCTATGCCTTTAATCAACCACATTAGTGGCTAAAGCATCTATGGCCTCCGATTTTGCTGCTATAGTTGTCAATTGTTGGGCAATCGGATCAAGAGTCGGAATGATGGGTTCGCTGTGGGAAGCGTTGGTCTGTATGTTCACCATGGCAAATCTTACTGCTCTGATATCAAACTGATAGTAACCAAAAGTAGATAATAGAAGAAATAGAACAAAGAAGTTAATATTAGTGGTAATAGTTTGTGCAAGAATCTTAAACACAATTACACCAATCAAGTTGTCCATATGGAGAGGAAAAGGTTCCAGAATAAAGTAGTTTTAATTCTGAAAAAATACCTACACATTACTAGATCTATTATTTATACGGAAAATGTCCAAATATGCCCTTGTACTATACGAAATTGAGCACATTTGCCCTTCGTTAATACTTTAGCTCAAATATACCCTTACCGTCACATAGTTGGTCCATATATGCCCTTAGAGTTACACAGTTGGCCCATATATGCCCTTTTCGAAACGGAATCCACCTAAACTAATTAGCTCTTTCGTTAATTGTATTAAAGTGTATTACAAACACTATTTCCTTTTTATTAGTACTTTTTTTTCTTTACCTTTCTCTTTTCTTTCTTCTTTTTCTTTTCTTCTCTTTTTTTTCCCTTTTTCTTTCTCTCTTATCCGATTTCCTCCATTACTGATGTCCTCTCCATTTTCGTCACCAATTTCACTTGACAAAACTCATGAATTCCAATTACTAAGAAAATTCTCCCATAATAATATTTTTATAGATCGTATGTTTGTCAATTTTTTAATTTTTATTGAACATATATTTAGTTATAAAATATTTAACAAAGTAAGACTGAAATAATATTTATGTAACAAAAAATCCGAAAAATCCAACAAAACTGAACAATCCAAACCGATATAATGGTTTGGTTTGGTTTTGATAAAAACCGAACCAACCCGTTCCATGTACACCCCTAATTTACATAGTTAATAAAACAAAATAGAAAATGTCCAGCTGAAAAAAGACTAACAACTCAAATTTATAACACTACAACTTGAACTCTAGGCTTTTAATCATTAAATTATCTTTGTGGAAACAATTTAAATATTTTGGTCTTTTGAGTATTGTTAAATGTTGAGATGTTTTTATTATTTTAAAGTTTAAACTATAATTTTTGGACAATTTAATTTCGTTTATTTAGAGGGCCAGTGAAATTGGAACTTGATTACCTTATGGGAAAATTTTCTTAGTAATTGGAATTCATGAGTTTTGTCAAGTGAAATTGGTGACGAAAATGGAGAAGACATCAGTAATGGAGGAAACGGATAAGGGAGAAAGAAAAAGGAAAAAAAAAGAGAAGAAAAGAAAAAAGAAGAAAGAAAAGAGAAAGGTAAAGAAAAAAAAGTATTAATAAAAAGGAAATAGTGTTAGCAATACACTTTAATACAATTAACGAAAGAGCTAATTAGTTTGGGTGAATTCCGTTTCGAAAAGGGCATATATGAGCCAACTGTGTAACTGTAAGGGCATATATGGACCAACTATGTGACGGTAAGGGCATATTTGAGCTAAAGTATTAACGAAGGGCAAATGTGCTCAATTTCGTATAGTATAAGGGCATATTTGGACCTTTAACCTTAGCTACTGCATAACCAATTAGGATAAAGACATAACTTCTAATAACCATAAACAAATAACTTCTATAGAAACTGCTCAATCCTCCATAACTGAAAGCTCCAGGAATTTGAGAAGAGGCAGATCATTATCTTCTCCTATATTTCTTTGCTTCTTCCTCCTTGTATGAAAGATACATGGCTTATCACACTTCTTTGATTAGCGAGCACCCTTTGTTGAGACATCATGATTCTTCGAGTCTTCAGCTGCATACATTTTTCTCAAAATGTCTTGAGTGCTTCTTTTGTGGCATAAGCTATTTCTCCAATTTGTGGTGCTGACGAATATTTGCTGGTTGAAATTGTCAGGTGGGCATTGGGAACATTGATCTACTTCATGCTACACGGTGAAATGCCATTTGGATCATGGAGAGAGAGTGAGCTTACATTTGCAAGGATTGCTAAAGGACAGTTTACACTTCCACATACATTCAGCCAAGAAGCTGTTGATCTCATTACCAAGGTATCGTCAAGTCTAAGGAGTTGATTGATGACTGGAATTAGAAAAATGACTGATAGTATATATTACTTTCTTATCCCTTCTTTTTGTTTCCTTAAAATCAACAGCAAGAAGTATTAGTTATATACAACAATACTGCGTCTCAATCTCAAACAAGTTGGGGTCGGCTATATAAATCCTCATTGACCATGTTCCCCATCTAAATTCAACTAGGTCAACATTATACAAAATAAAAAATAGAAAAATGAGAAGTATTGAAAGTTATAAAATATAGAAGATGAGAAGTATAAGTTCTTTATCTTTTTGTTATACAAATTCTCCAATTTCTTGTTATTTTTCCTTGTATCGTGATGTAAATTTCGTGCCAGTTACTTCAAGTTGATGAAAAGCTGAGACTCGGAAGCCAAGGTGTTCACTCTCTAAAAAATCATCCATGGTTTTCTGGTGTTGATTGGAAAGAAGTAGCAGATCATCGAAGTCCTGTTCCTGCAGAGATTCTATCTCGTATAAGTCAACGCTTGGAAAATCATGGTGATGTCAACATAGCTTCCCTACATTCCCCTATTCGGGACTTGGAGGAGCTTAACACTCCAGAGTGGCTTGAAGACTGGTAGCGCGTTTTGAATAAAGTTTTGCCCATCACATTCCAGGATGCTGCTAGCGGCAAAATTGACCAGCTTATTGTTTCAGAACTGTCCTGTTGGAGAATCAGTCAAATGAACTGAGTAAGGTGCCGCTTCTAAATCATGTTCTCCTGTTGATCAACCACGTGGCGGCCTAGGGAGAAATGTCTTTCTGCTTTTCTTGGACAATCATAAGCTTATGCTACAGGTATTATAATTTTTTTTTTTATTTCTGTTCTTTTATAAAGTTTACTATGCTTCTGTAAATATGTTATGTGTAAATCAAACAGAGCCCCTTTCTTTTTATCGCACCCTAATCTCTCCCCCCCAAACCAAAAAGAGAAGAAAAGAAAAAGAAAATGGAGGTATCTCTTAAAAGCCAGTGGCTGAGAGAAGCCATTTTTTAGCATTGTTGCACCACCTTATCAGATTTTAGGTTTTACATTTGGATAGAATGAAGAGCTTTTTATTCTGTAAAGAATTCTCCAAATTTGGAGCTATAATGCCTTGTTTCAAACCTATTCTAGTTATTTGAGGTTTTCCTCCCCTCTGCCTTGTTTAGTATTGCAGATTTCACCGTCTTACGCCACCAAAAACATGATATGGGCAATTGACAATTTCACTTTAATTTATTGAGAGTTCTCAGCATTTATGGTAGATACGAGGACCAACTACAAATTGATTAATGGGCATCTAGTTTAGCTGAGCTAACTTCTGTTATATAAGTAGCAGCCTGTTACATGATGTACATGTAGTTATGAACTATTGTGCATCTTTTCTTCCTCTATCGTTTGCAAAACAGCCTGTTACATGTACATGTAGTTATAGTTGTCACACCTCATTTTTCGGGTAGAAAAGAGTTTTTTCAATTAACGCATCATAGTGATAAACTCATGTACTCACTCTCAGAGTACTCAATCTCACTGTTTCACTCCCACTCATCAATCTTAATCGCTTAGCATTATATGGTACCTGCACTCACTACTGGTATGTTAGACTTAGGAAGGACGGATCCTGTCCAAGCGCTAATATAAAACCAATATGGCCTGTTGTGGTGTGCAGTCCGATCCCATAATAATAGATAAAGCCTATAAGGCTTGCTGCGGCGTGCAATCCGATTCATAATAGTAACATATATAAAGCCAAGAAGGACTACTACGCCGTGCAGCCTGATCCACAACCTCACTCACAACACGGCTCTCATGCCCTAACTCAGTCATCAATCTATCCAGTCTCTCGGACTCACAAATCTCATGCCAATCAGCCCAAACAATGATACATGATGCAACAATAAAAGACAAAAGAGACTGAGATATGATATGCAAATGATGGATGTGACAGAGTACATAATTGCAATTTAAGCAAATAGTTCAATAGCAGAAATGACCTCAGTGGGTCCCAACAAAATAAGCATATAGCATAAACAAGATTTCTAACATGGATTGCATCTCAATTACTCTAACACGTAGGGATTCCATGAATAACAACAAGGTTTGATAACTATACGGTACCACATAATCAACCGACAATTACCACGGTGCACGGCCACACGCCCATCACCTAGCATGTGCGTAACCTCCATTCTAACCACATAACACGTATTTTAGGGATTTATACCTTCAAAACCAAGTTTAGAAGTGTTACTTACCTCAAACCGCGCAAATCCCTACTCCAACAAGCCCTTGGCTCCGAACGACTCGAATCTAGCCACAAACAACTTAGTACAATCAATACAAACTACAGGAATCGATTTCGTACGATAAAGCTAAGTTCTTTAACCAAAGTCAAAAAGTCAACCTCGGGCTCACGTCTCGGAATTAGAGATAAAATTTACAAAATCCGAACACCCATTCAATAACGAGTCCAACCATACCAAAATCATCTAATTCCGACCTCAAATCGCCTTTCAAATACTCAAAATATAGTTTATGAAGTTTCTCCAATTTTTTCAAACCCAAAACACTAATTAAATGGTAAAAATAATGATAGATTAATGTAGATTAACCAAATCTGAGTTATAATCACTTACCCAATCAATTCCCTGAAAATCCATTCAATAATCGCCTCAATCCGAGCTCCCAAAGTCCCAATGTGAAATAATACTCTAACCCTCGTTTTTGAAATTATATAATCTGCCCAAACATCATTCTTCACGAACGCGGAAAGTGCTTCGCGTTCGCGAAGCACAAAATCTCAGCTGCCCAAAAATCCTTTTATGCGAACTCGAGAACTACCTCGCGAACACGATGATCAAAGAACCCATGCCTACGCGAGCGCGAACCATCTCCCGCGAACACGAAGCCTGGTGTCCCACCTGTCTCATCCTTCCACGTGAATGCGAGTCCACTCCCGCGATCGCGATGCACAAACTCCCTATTCGTTCGCGAACATGAAGAAAAAACTTCACCTGCCACCTAGATACACTTCACGAACGCGAGACCTCTCTCGCGAACGCATATAAGGAAACCAACACCAGAATTTTTGTAGCTTTACAAGGCCAAACTCAATCCGCAATTAATCCGAATCTCACCCGAGGCTCTCTGGACCCCATCCAAACATACCAACACATCCTAAAATATCATACGAACTTAGTTGAACCCTCAAATCACATCAAACAATATTCGAAAACACAAATCGCACCCCAGTTCAAGCCTAATGAACTATTGAACTTCCAACTTCTAAAACCAATGCCGAAACACACCAAATCAACTCCAATTGACCTCAAATTTTGCACCAAGCCATAAATGACACAACAGACATATTCCAACTCTCGGAACCAAAATCCAAGCTCGGCAACAATAAGGTCAACTCTCGGTCAAACTTCTCAACTTCCCAAACCTTTAACTTTTCTACTTTCGCCAATTCAAGCCAAAACGACCTACGAACCTCCAAATCAATATCCGGACATAGTCCTAAGTCCAAAATCACCATACGGAGCTATCAGAACCGTAAAAACTCCATTCCAGAGTCGTTTACACATAAGTCAATATCCGGTCAACTTTTTCAATTTAGGCTTCCAACCTTGGGACTAGTGTTCCAATCCATTTCGAAACATCCCCGGAACTAAACCAACCACTCGGCAAGTCACATAACAACAAACGATCATAGAATAAGCAATAAATGAGAACAGAGCTACAATACTCAAAACGTCCGATCGGGTCGTTACACTCTCTAACGGTTCGTAACACATCATAACCTTAGAGATATTATGAACAATCTAGAATACAAAAGACCAACTACTATGTTTGGTCCGCCTGACTGTATGAACCACTTTTAGACATACCAGGATCGGGATCCAGAGCGACTCCTGTAACGCGAAATAAAGGTACATACCCTTTACTACCGCATCAACTTGTCACTAAATAGGCAAGTGAATACTTTTTCATCGAACTCATACTATGTACCTAGAATCTTACACTTGCCTAGATATAATAAAGTCTGTTGACTAGGATCACATTACTCACCTCGACTTCAATTATTTCTCAATATCACAATAATGAGCACTATGAGCAAAATAGTATTATGCTACTTGCTCACCTCTCCAGCAGAGGAAAAGTTCGAAAAAATTCCCTCATAAGGAACAAGAATCTGGAACAATTCTATCACGATCCCAATTCCCAACTATAGGTCGTGATGGCGCCCAACTTCGTCGTTAGGCAAACCAACGGTGAACTATCTATTTAATTGCTCATTTTATTACTTTTAAAATCTTGAATTTTATTTAATAAAGAACTAAGTATGGTAAGTCATGGTGATATAAAGCATAAATAAAACATAAAAATAAAATGATGATAATATTAAGCAAAAACCATAAACATTTACTAGAACTTCCCCAAAACTCGGAGTCACAAGTGCACGAGCAATCTAGTAGAATATACAAACGACTACAACTATTGTCTGAAATGAAATAGACAGAAATATAAAATGCAATAGGAAGGAGACTCCGGGTGCTGCAGGTCGGAGCATGGGGGAGCAACTCACTACTAAGTCTCCGGATAATATGGATGCGCGCCCGAACACACACTAGATGTACCTGCCTCAGTACCTGCACAATTTGCGAAGAAGTGTAGTATGAGTACATAATCAACGCGTACCCAGTAAGTATCTAGTCTAACATCGAAGAAGTAGTGACAAGGGGTCGATATCAACACTTACTAGTGGTCAAGAAATAAAGTACAAGAATTATAAATAGGCATGAAATATAACAGTATCAATGGAATAAGAAACAGTAAATAACGTTGATCATTTAACATAATATCAGTTTAAAATACCCAAATATCACATGTCATCTCAACAAATAAGAACCATCAAGTAAATAACAGTTTAAGCTTCGAAGGGGATAATTCCCTCTTACATGATTAGGCAAGAGATTTACCTTGTTTCCAAGTCCTCTTCTCGGCCCTCAAACCATACTAATAACCTCAAAATAACTCCGAACAACCCGAAATTAGTCAAAAGTCGTACAAACTAATCAATCTATGCCCAAAAGTTCATAATTCATCTATTAGAGCAATTACCCAACCCAACTCGAAAAGTTCCTAAAAGTCACCCCGAGCCCAGGTGCCCGGATTTTGAAAATTTTCATAGATAAATGTTAACCATGACCTTTCGAACTCAAATATATAATTTCTACTCAATCTCATAATCAATTTCGCGGTCTAATCCCATTTTTACCAAACCCTAGGTTTCTCAACATAATCCCATAATTTTTCATAATTTCTATATTAAAATTTACCCATAATCTATGTATTAAACTCACATTAGGTAGAAATCACTTACCTTAAGATGCTAGGTGAAAATCCCTCTCCAAGAAGCACTAAAATCGGCCAAACTAATGTAAAATGAGAGAAAATGAGACTAAGTCGTGATTTTAAAACATGTTTTTCCCAGTGGCCCTTCTACGTGATCGTGAAAGGTGCCTCGCTGTCGCAAAGGAAAACCAGTCATCGCCTAGAAAACTCTCCTTCGCAAAATGTAAATATGGGCCAACCTCTCTGAAGAGTGCATAGTCACCACCGGAATAAAGTGTGTAGATTTGGTTAGTCTGTCGACAATGACCCAAATGACATCAAATTTCTTCAATGTTCGCGACAACCTAACTATGAAATCCATAGTGATGTGCTCCCATTTCCACTCTGATATAATCATCTATTGAAGTAGGTCACCTGGCCTCTGGTGCTCAAACTTAACCTGCTACCAGTTTATACATCTCACCACATACTCAACTATGTCCTTCTTCATCTGCCACCACCAGTAATGCTGCCTCAGGTCACGATACATCTTCGTGACACCTGGATGAATAGAATACCGTGAACTATGTGCCTCATCTAGTATCGTCTCCCTCTGGCCATCAATATTAGGAACACATATGCGACCCTGGAGTCACAAAACACCATCATCACCAATAGTAACCTCCTTTGCATCACCCATTAGTACCGTCTCTCTAAGAACCAGCAAGTGCGAATCATGGTACTGGCGATCCTTGATCTCCTCGAATAAAGAAGACTGAGCCAAAACACAAGCAAGAACTCGACTAGGCTCTGAAATATCCAACCTCACAAGTCTGTTAGCTAAGGACTGAATGTCCAAAGCCAATGGCCTCTCCCCTGCTAAAATGAATGCCAAACTACCCATACTCTAGGCCTTTCTGCTCAAAGCATCCGCAACCACATTCGCCTTGCCTGGATGATAGAAGATAGTAATATCATAATCCTTCAGTAACTCAAGCCACTTGCATTACCTCAGATTAAGCTCCCTCTGATTGAACAAATG